CCACCTGCCCCACGGCTTCCCACCACCAAGCTCAATGCCCTCACCCCAGGTATCACAGCTCACCCTTTGCTTTTAGGAATCTCCCTGGTGCACTGGGACTGGCACACTGTCACATACAAGGGAAGGGGTGCCCAACATGAGGGTGTAGGGAGCAGGCCTCAGCTAAGCAAGCACTTGCATCCTAACCCTGGTACTCACCTGCGGGATGAAGCCACAGCACGTCACCGTGTGGAAGCCGAACTTGGTCACATGCTGGGGCTCAGCATCCTCGGCCCTCCGGCCTATCAACAGGAAGAGATGTAGTCTTTCCTCTAAATGCCAGACCCCACAGAGTCAGGACAGGCCTGGCTGCACTGCTGGAAGGTGGGTGGTAGGAGAATGGACCACTCCCACTAGCAATTAGGTAGCACGTGGGTCAGCCAGGACACAGCCTCAGCACACCAGACAGCAGGGCTGGGTATAAAAGAGGTCAGGAGCCAATTCTACTTGCTTATCAACGCCATCAAATTCCTACTTAACAATCTCATTTTCACACTGAGTGTAGAGGGGGATCCTCTACACGCGTGCAATCCAACCTGTTACGGAAACGTCACCCTGGCCTGCCTGGTGGGTCAAGGGCGCACGAAGGCAATCTGAACGCACCCACTGTGTTCGCCTCCTCCCTCAACTTGTCCCCGAGCTTCTGGTTGTAAAGATGCAAATCTGCCACCTGTTCTCCAAGTCTCCAAGCCTGACTGCGGAGAGAAGAAATGCAGCCATTAAAGTAAGAAATAGCAACAATCTGCCAGTATGCTGTTTTAGGAATATTTTAATACCTAAAAACGACTCTCCATGCCATGACAAGTGAAAACGAATGGCAGGTAGCGACCCTTTCCAGAAAACAGTGTAAATCACCAAGAGTGGGGAAGCAGGTAGGCACCCACAGAAGCTTTAAGAAGTACTGAGAATTACAAGACAAATGTTCAAAAGGTAACAGTAAGTTAAAAACCATCTCCCAGGGGACTCATTCCCCCTCTCCACGTGGGAGTCTGTGCTAGATCTTCAGTAAATTTCCACTTTTGCTATAAAAACAAACCAATGAACAAAAAACCATCACCCCGTTTTGGTGGGGTTGTTTAAATATATTTTTTTTATTGATTTCAGAGATAGAGGGAGAGGGAGAAACATCAATGATGACAGAGAATCTTTGCTTGGCTGCCTCCTGCACGCCCCCTACTGGAGATTCAGCCCACAACCCAGGCATGTGCCCTGACCAGGAATCAGACTGGGAATCAAACCATGGTTCACAGGTTGACGCTCAACCACTGAGCCAGACCACCAGGCTCATCATTGATGTTTCTCTCTCTCTCCCTCTCCCTTCCTCTCTGAAATCAATAAAATACCAGAAGAAAAAGAATGACAGGTGGGAACCCTGCCCCTGGTAACTCCACCGAGTTATGTGGGCAGCTCAGCAAGAGGCCGCTCTCTCTCTCTCTCTCTCTCTCTCTCTCTCTTACCTGTTCAAGCTCCTCATCTTCAGATGCTCCATCACGAAGGCTGCCCCACCCCCGGGCAGGTCGATAACCTTGATGGGCCGAGGGGCCCGCACCATGCCCGTGCTCCGGAGGGCCTCCAGGCTTGCCACCTCGCCCTCAAACATCTGCCGGGCCTGTGTCCAGAATGACCACCATGAGCTCCCACTCCAGCGGGGGCCTCTGCAGCCAGGCTGTGGCTCACAACCCTCCACAGAAGCCACCACATGGGGTCATAAGCACCCAGGACCACTAGTTACTGAAAATGGGGTTCCTGTGGGTGGGGCTTATCATTCTGAGACATTTGGGTTCTGAAATCAGACTCCTCAGCAGTTCTGGGTGCCCACAGAGCAGGGGTGCTGGGTCAGCCCCCACCCCTGGTCCACCCAGCCATGGACAGTGCTGCAGGGTGTCCGAAGGGGTCTCTCTGGCAGCCCCCCACCTCTGCTGGGTACATGCACTGTGGCTAACTCTCTCCACTTGGTTTTTTGTTTTGAAATGGATTTCAAAAAGGAAGGGAGAGGGAGAGAGAAAGAAACATCAATGATGAGAGAGAATCATTGATCAACTGCCTCCTGCACGCCCCACTGGGGATGGAGTCCGAAAACCAGTCATGTGCCCTGACGGAGAATTGGACCCGGACCTTCTGATTCATAGGTTGACGCTCAACCACTGAGCCACACCGGCCGGGCTAACTCTCTGCTTGCCAAGTGTTGTTGTTTTATCCGTGTGTGTTTAACAGATACAGGATAAGCAGGAGATGAAAACCAGACCCAAACACAAGCAGGGCCTGTGAGTAGAGGGGCCTGAGTCCTGGCTACCTTCCTGCCTCTTCACACCTGGTGAAGAGGACCGGACCTTGGGGAAACCTGAGCTCAGAGCTGGGGCAGGAGAGTGGCAGAAGCAGCCCAGGTCTCCAAGCCTCACCTCCCCCATGCTTGGTGGGTGGAGACATTAAACCAAACAACAGAAAACTCACGCAGGCACGCACGCACGCACGGGGGTAAAAGGACCAGAATTGATCCTGCAGCGGGTAAAATCCTGCAGGGGATCCCGCAGAACATGCTGGAGCCCTGTGGCCTGCAGGTGTCCGGTTCAAGGCCGCAGGCTGACACAGGGGCAGTGGCGCCAGGCCTGACGCACGAAAGGCCACTCCTCGTGCCCGCGCCCCCTGCGTCCCCTTCCGCGCGCCCCATCCCCTCTATCCGCCCCCTCTCCCCTCACAGGCTCTCGCTCTCTCCATTCCCCGCCTTTCCCACCCTCTCCCCCTCTCCAGTCCCCGCACCTGAGCCCTGCGGTTGACCTTGACAAACACAGGCCCCGCGTCAGTGTCGTAGGAGTGCCCCTCGCTGATGCAGCCCCCGCCAGAGCGCCCCAGGGCGCGCAGGGTCGCGGTGCGCAGCTCCGAGCGCAGCAGCTGCTCCATGGGGGCGGGGACACTCGGAACACGGGGACCAGGGGGAGCCAGGGGGACGCAAAGAGGGACCCAGGATGGTGCCGACTGCCCAGCCAGGGACGTGAGCTCGCCACTGCCCAGGCCGCTGTGCACGGGGAAGGCTACTGGTCTGCAGGGCCAGCGGGCTCTGAACGCCCAAGCTCCCGCCTCCCAGGCTCCGCCTCCCGGGAGGGGTGAGGAGGGAGGCGGGAGGGAGAGAGGGAGGGAGAGGAGGAAGGGGGGAAGGGAAAAAGGGAGGGGGGAGTGTAGAGCGAGGACGTATCCCAAGGGGGGACAGAGCTGGGCGGCGCTCTCCCCAGGCGTCTGCAGAATTAGTGTGCCTGGACAGTCCAGGTTGGGGGTTCACCCACTGGGGGCGCTCACAGGGCCCTAGAGGTAGGGCCTGACCTCCCTGCACAGAGGCCCCAGGAGCCCTCCCAGGACTGGAACCCCGCCCACTCAGCAGGGTACGGGACACAGCCCTGGAGTGACCCAGCCAGAGGCCTAGCTAGGTCTCCCACTGACCAGACAAGGCTGGGGCCTCAACCACGTCCTGCCAAGCCCCGGCACTGTCCAGTGGCCCCACAGCTGGCCTTGCCTTTGCTCATCAGGGCGCCTGGTGCCCATCAGCAATAGATAGAGGCAGCTCTGGAGCGTCTGATACCAGGCAAGGCGGCTGACCCCACCCACGTGGGACTCCTGATTACAGAGACCACAGCGATGGGGAGGGACTTTAACTATTTTTAAAAATATTTTTATTGATTTCAGAGAGGAAGGGAGAGGGAGAGATAGAAACATCAATGATGAGAGAGAAGCATCAATTAGCTGCCTTCTGAACACCCCACACTAAGGATCGAGCATGAAACCCGGGCATGTGCCTTGACTGAGAATTGAACTGTGACCTCCTGGTTCATAGGTCAACACTAAACCACTGAGCCACACCAGCTGGACTTTATTTTCTTTATTCACCGTTTGACTGCTTATACCTTATACCACAGTGCAACATAGGCATTACACTAAGTTATTAAGACAAATCTTTTTTTAAAATATATTTTTATTGATTTCAGAGAGGAAGGGAGAGGGAGAGTGACCCCACTCCCCCAGCACCGGGAGCCAAAAGGCGTCCCTTCCTCTCACCACAGGCTCCAATCGATGTGTTTCTCTCACATCAGTGTTTCTCTCTGTCTTTCCCTCTCTCTTCCACTCTCTCTAAAAATCAATGGAGCCAAACCGGTTTGGCTCAGTGGATAGAGCGTCGGCCTGCGGACTGAAGCGTCCCAGGTTCGATTCCGGTCAAGGGCATGTACCTTGGTTGCAGGCACCTCCCTATTGGGGGGCGTGCAGGAGGCAGCTGATCGATGTTTCTCTCTCATCGATGTTTCTGACTATCCCTCTCCCTTCTTCTCTGTAAAAAATCAATCAAATATATTTTTTTAAAAAATAAAAAATAATCAATGGAAAATATCCTCAGGTAAGGATTTAAAAAATAAATGATAAAAAATTTTAGAAAAACAGTACAACAGCACACGTGCCATTGTCAGAAGCTGGCCCAGCACCCTTTCCCTCGGAGACCGTTTCCCCAGGATCAGGAAAAATAAGCTAACATCTCAGCTCACAGTAGTCTAGGAATTACTGGGTTTGACCATTCCACAACCACAAGCTCTTAAAGTCACAGTCCTCTCTCCCGTTCCACAAAAGCCAGACCCTGAAAGCATCGTTCTGCTTCCGAATTACACGGAGGGGCCCCTGTGCACAGAAGCACAAAGCAGAGGAGAACAAATGAATCTGTCCTCCCACCAGCCTCCGGGAGACCACCGGTGTCCTACACTGGTGCCCCCAGCCCCACCTCAGACCCAGTCGGTGGCCACAAGTGGGCTTCTTCCTCAAAACGCAACCCGACAGTTGCTTTCTACATCCCTTCCATGTTCACAAATCCCGCAGGGTGACTAGGAACAGCAGTTAAATTGCATCTGAGTCAAATATTAGAAAGTCCTCAGGCTACACCTGCCCTTAGTTTGAAGCTCTTCTCTTATTTAACAAAGCCAAAGATAAAATTTGCTCTTCAAGAAACAATTTATTAGAGTAACACAATACAAAGGCTTCTTGGCAAATATCTAGGAAAAACACTGACTTATGGTTTAAATGAGGGAAATGGTGCCTTGCATCATAGAAACCACTGAAAAGTTTGCACAAAAGCATGTTAACATCAATGCCATTCATGACCGTTCCTCAGCCCTGCAAGATGAAGGGGGGAAACACTGGCTTAGCGCGAGCCTCTCTGAAGCAAAGGAATGACACTCGGCAAGCTAAGAGAGCGGCAGGCCAGGGGGGTGTGAAGTCGATTCAGTGGCTCCTGAATCTACTGAGGACACCCCGGAAGCTGGCAGTTTGGCCACTCCCCAAATCATCTCCAGACCTGCTCAGCCTGCGGCTGGTCCAGAGGTCACACAGAAAGCAAAGGGAATGTGCTCAGTTTGGGGAATGGTCATTGTAAGATGCCCCTCGTAAGACGGTTTCGTGCCTAGACTGCACTCAGCCATCGAGTAGCATCATCCTGAACTCGAGTCATTCCTGGAGGCGAGACGGGAGGGGATGGTGGGAAGGTGCCCGCAGCAGCAGTGCCTGGCGCACTGGCCACTTCCCTTCTCTACCTTTGGGGCAGTTGTTGGGTTTGACATGGCCCCACACTGCGAGGTCCCTCTGTTCACATTACTAGTATGGTTTATCCAACTACGAAGTCTAACGAAATGTACAGCTTTAGGATGACAACACCTCTCTTCTGAGATATTACATACTTTCCAAGGCTTGGAAAGTTGGTCTGAAGCCTCTCCAGATGTGTGAAGAAATGGGACAGAACCCCTGAAGAAGAGGACTGTGGGGGAACAGAGGGTTAGGATCTGGGACCTCTGAACCTACGGCTCTGCAGGCTCCTCGCACAGGCCTCCCTCCAGAGCAGGGCAAGCTCACTAGATGAGGTTCCTCATGATGTTGAGGGAGGACCCTCTGTACCCTGATCCGAAATGATTCCAGTGGTTCAAATAGTGGAAGAGCTGATACAACTTCAGGCGCTTCTCAAACCCGGGGGCCTTGGGGATCTTGTTGTGGTAGGCAGAGTAGAAGGTGCTACTAAAGCCCCCAAACATGCCAGCTATTGCCAGCTCATATTCCGAGTGGCCATAGAAGGAGGCTGGGTCAAAGATGATGGGCCCAGAGGAATCCTCTGCTACGTTTCCTCCCCAGAGGTCTCCGTGGAGCAGGGCTGGGACGATGTCCAAATCAAGGAACAGATCAGGGATCTTCAACTGCGAGGAAGAAAGGCAGCCTCAGCGAAACGAGTGACGCATGTGGGAGGGGTGCACGCTTTCCCACGTGTCGCTGCGCGTGGCCGTGCATGGCTCAGGCAGGGTGCAGGGACACCTACTGCCATCTGATTGGCCAAGCCCACCCACCTCCTATCAGACACACATCTCAGTGCTGTACCTGGCTCGCCACCTCTCCCTGGTGGGGCTGCAGGGCATGGTGGGCACAGGGCGCAGCGGGGCTCTCTCACCTGCAGAGCAGACCAGAGCTCGAGGGCATCTCTGTCCCCAGACCCCTTCGCCAGCATGTCCATCTGGGGCTGGATGCGCTGCTGGGCATAGAATGTGACCCAGTCCTTCTGCCAGTCATTCACCTGCACAGGCGACAGCAAAGGAGAAAGCCGAGCTCAGAGGCACATGCCAGGGCTGAAGGAGGTACCCCAAAGTGGGAAAGACTGATTGCTTGAGACCCCGCTGCAGGGATGGGGGTGGAGGGTGAGGGGTGGGAGCTGATGGTACCCCCGGGGCCTTGTGGACAGGTGGGAGCTTAGAGTCTATCCCAGAAGCAGTGGGAAGCAAGGGGCCATTCCCATGCAGAGCAACAGGGTCCCCTCTGACGAGCTCTGGGATGTTTTCTTTCTTTTTTTAAACTTATCTTTAGTGTTGAAAGTATTACAAATGTCTCCTTTTTCCCCCATTGACACCCTCCACTCTTCCCGCCCCCTCCCCAGGCCTTCACAGCACTACTGTCTGTGTCCGCGGGCTATTCGCACATGCATACAAGTTCTTTGGTTAATCTCTTCCTGCCTTGGGATGTTTTCTTTCGATCTATACTCACACAGGAGCACAGAGGCCAGAGCTGGCTGGCCTTCTCTGACCCTGTGGCTCACTTCTGTCCATCCACCTGGCCATTAGAGGACCCCTCTTCGGCCCCTCCCAAGCAGCTGGCACTGCCCTCTCAAGAGTAGTAACATGGGAAGTCACGTGGAACCCTGTTCAAAAAGACCGCTGAGAGAGGACATCCAGGCCACAGGTGCTGACCATGAGGGTGGGGCAGGGGGGGAGCAAGACAGACATACACAAGAGCAGGCAGCCCAGGGGCAGTATGTGATGCCAAATGACAGTATCACACTCACAAAATGCACTCACTCACACTCATACACGTACTCTCACACAAATGCACCCTGACACATGTGCACACAACCAGCCAGCAAGGTACAGGTGGGAGAGAGAGGAGCAGAGCCAGCTGAGACACCCCAGAGCAGCATGGAACAGGAGGCACAGCTATCAGCCCCCTGCCACCCCATGCAAGTTCCTGGACAACCTCCAAAACATTTCAGAATCAGAATAGTGTCTACTGCACCCCCGTGCCCACCACAAAATCCCCGAAAGTTTTCTACAGCAGATCCCTTCCAAGGAGCCACCTGCCTTTTTCTGAGAGCACATCCACCTCCCTAACCACTCTGCATTTGTGAGGTATCAAGGAGAATTCCCAGGGGAGCCACCCGTAAAATCATAAAACTGAAAGTTACCATCCCTTTTCATTATGCTACCTTTGAGAGCTTTCTATTTAAATTAAAACATTTAAAAGTTGTCTAATTTTTACCCACCTTGAGATACAGCACCCTAACTTGCTGGCCTTCTCTGTTTCTCTGAGCTTACACAGCCCATGAGGGGTAAAGCTCATGCCAACCTCTTAAAAATTAGCACAGAAAGAAAGGGAGCAAAGACTTACTAAACTTCCCCAGAAAGGGAGAGGTGTGCTTTCCCAGCTATTTCTGGACAGCTTTCCCACTTGGGAGACAGGAAAATGCAGGTGTCACTCACCTGGGGGAGATATCCACAACACGTCACCACGTCAAACCCAAACTGGTCTACGAAGGGCCGTTCCGCCTGCTCACCTCCTCTCCCTTGGAAGAAAAAGAAAAACAGGACAGACGACTAGCTGCCTTGCGCCCTCGGCCCTGCCTTGGAGCTCAGCGTAGCTGGAGGCCTGATGTCAGCGTGCCTTCTCCTCCTGAGTCCCATCCAGAGACAAACAGGGCCTGGTCTCCACCGACCGTCAGGACCCAGAACCAGAGCCTGTTCTGTCCCACTTCATAACCAAGCCACCCACTGCTTTCTAGGAGAGACACCAGACAGTGCCCAGAGGACACCCAGACAGAATGGCTTGCAGCTGCCATTTGTGGCAGACAAACTGCGTTCACTGTGCTCACCGCACCCCAAACATGCATCGTGGGGTTGACATTCCTTTCCTTTGGCATCAACGCAGGTCTGACCCTCACTCATGTGGCTGTGGCATAACCCCACCCAGACACCCATCAGAGCCCAGTGTCCTCCTCAAGGCGGGGTCCCTCTTGGCCCACAAGATGTCATACCCACTCTGCCGGCCTCCTTCTGCAGCATCTCTCCACGCCTTTTATTCTCTAGGTGCAGATCTGCCAGCTGGGCTCCAAGCTTGGCAGCATGACTGTGAAACCAAAGAGCAGCAACTGAACATGTGACACAGAGGATAGTACATCCACCTGAAAGGGCTCAGGCCACACAAAGGAAGTCACACATTTTGAGGACAGAAAGTCTGTTTTGGTGAAGCAAGAGGGAGATGATGGGCCCTCATTAGTGGACGGTCTTTCGCAGCCTCATCTGAGCTTGCAGCCAAGTCCTCTGTGCGCATCTCACCTGGAGAGCCCCTTCCTGTTGCCTCTGGCTTGCAGGGTGCTCATTACGGGTGGGTGGTGGGTCCCTTGTATCACATCCACAAAGTTATACCCAAGTGCAAGCTTCGGGTGTGGAGCAACCACCCAGAAGAAAACCAAAGCCAACAAGAGGGGAAGGTGCCGAGACGTACCTGCTCAGATACCGCATGTCCAAATGCTCCATCACTAGCATACTGCTGCCTCCCGGGGCGTCCAGGACCTTGATGGGTTTGGGCACTTTCACTGTGTCTGTTTTCAGGATGGCCGTTAAACTGGCCATCTCACCTTCAAACATTCTTCTAGCCTGTCAGGAGAATTAATGGCAGAGGGGAGGAGAGCGAGATCCCTTCTGGAAAGGCTCCAGGTAGACAAGTTTCTCAGGCATTACAATTCTAAGCCAAGGCTACCCTGACTGCAAAGTCAACAGACAGACAGCTTTTTTGGCTTTTCCGTAAAGCAGATTATACGTCCTGAAGCTGCACAGGAGTAGATGGGACTTGGCAGTGTCGGACTATATCGTTGAGTCCAACCCCCTCCAGGTGGGAAGATGTCAGCTACTAATATTCCACTAAGTGCCTGGTGCAGGGCTGGACTGTGTACGTGGGTCACCCTCTGTAGTACCTCCAACACAGTCCTGTCCCACAGCAACCACAGAACCAGCTCACACTGGCCTCACCCTAGTTCTAACGAGATACTGACTTGTTTTCCAGGGACTACAGAACAAAACTGCATGTCATGCTCAAGTATGCTCAAAGGAGAGAATTTTGACTTCAATAATACCCAGAACCGAAGTGTGCCCCGCACCCTACCCCCTGCCCCCCAACCGCCACCATGGAACCAAAGATCTGGGACTTGACTGGAACTCGGTCACTGGTCCACTATCCAGGACCCAGTGCTGAAGCCTTCCATTGAAACCTGCCCTGCAGCACTTCCGCAGCCCGGTCCGTCCTTCCCTAACCCTTAAATTTCACCCAAACCCACAACTGGGGAGACAGATTTGAGCCTTGTCTCATGGCCGGTGGACTGCAATAAAGCCTTTTCTTTTATCAAAAGCCAATGTCATGGCATTGGCTTCTGTGCACATTGGGCAGCAAGTGCTTGCTTGGTAACAACACCTGACCCCGCAGGTGCAGGTGGCCTCTGGTCTGCATGCCAGGAACCTGTGGTCACTTTTCACCTGAATGGACCACCAAGCTCTAGGGCATCTCCTACCTGGCACTGGAAACTCTATCACCTTGAACACCTTTTCGATCCCAGTCCAAAAGTCCTTGTTCCCCCTGGACTGCAGTGACCTCCTCCCTGGTCTCCCTGCTCACCAAACCAAAGCCATCCTCTGGAAGGCAAATCCACCCTGGCACACACCCGGAGCCACCGCCTGCCCCGATCCTGCATGACCCTGCCCACCCTCCCATCTCACCCAGGGCCCTACCTGGGCTCCACTCCTACACTGACATGCACACGCCCCTGTGCTCCTGGGTGACAGCCTTCCGTTCCTGTCTTAAAGACCGCCTGCCTCCTCCAGCCTCGAAGCCTCCACACACCCGTCACCTCTGCTTGGAGCACTAACCCCCACCTTTTGCCAAGTCCGCTCCCTCCCCGTCAGGTGCGCACCCAGCCTACGGTTGATGGGCAGCTGGGCTTCCAGTTTGGGGCTATGACCAACAGTGCTGCATGGACATTCTTCTACACATTCTCATAGTCACTCATTCTGTGGCCTTGGGCAAGTGGCTTAAGCTCTCTGTGCCTCAGTTTCCTCATCCGTAAAATGGGGTTAATAACAGTACCAATATCATGGGCTTGCTGCCATGATTAACTAAGTTAGCAGCTAACACTTAATCCATGCTAAACACTTGATAAATATTATCATACTGCCACCAAGAGCTACAGTCACTGAGGAGAACGCTAAGAACAGCGTCCTGCCCTGACCGGGTAGTCAGTTGGTTAGAGTGTCAGCCCTACACGCCACGGCTGTGGGCTCGGACCCCTGGTCAGGGCACAAACAGGAATCACTCGATGAATGCACAGGTGGCACAACAAATTGAAGTTCCTCTCAAATCCGTAACAATTTAAAAAAGAACTGTGTGTTAAGAAGAATTTTCAGAGCATCTAGAAGATAGAGAGAAAGACTGGGCCCTGCTGTGCTTGTCCTAAACGCGGGTTTGGAGGAAAGGGGATGATTTCGACGCAGGCAGCGGCGAAGGAGGCTGTGGCCCACGGCTCCCTCCCTCCCAGGGCCTCCGTGTCCACCTCCCATGAGCATGGGCTGCGCCCGGGGCCTCCGTGTCCACCTCCCAGGAGCATGGCCTGCGCCCGGGGCCTCCGTGTCCACCTCCCAGGAGCATGGCCTGCGCCCGGGGCCTCCGTGTCCACCTCCCAGGAGCATGGCCTGCGCCCGGGGCCTCCGTGTCCACCTCCCAGGAGCATGGCCTGCGCCCGGGGCCTCCGTGTCCACCTCCCAGGAGCATGGACTGCGCCCGGGGCCTCCGTGTCTGCCGCTCTGGGGCACGGTCCCTCCGGCGCAGGCGACGGGCTGGTGCCACCAGCGGGAGAAGCCACCCGGCCCGCGGCGGGCGGTGAGCACCATCGGGAGGCGGACACGCACGCGGGGCCTCGCAGGCTGAGAAGGGCACCCCAGAGG